TTATTACTATTATTATTATTATTAACGGACATCAGTCGGTCGAAGGGTGCCGTACTGTTTTGGGGACCCATCAGCAGACCCCAATATAGACCCTACACCTCGTGCTAAACCCTAAACCCCTAAACCCCTAAACCAGTGAACCCTCAACATTGATCCCCAAACCTTAAACCTAATCTCCCAAACCCTAAACCTGGAATCACACTTAAATCAAAGGGGAAAAGGAGGGAGCCTTAATGGGGACCCTACCCTATAATGGGCTATATAATGGGTATATCATGGGTATATAATGGCTATATACCTAGGGGTCCTTATTAGGGGTCACTCCTTTTACCCTTTGATTAAAGGAAAAACCTAAAAGCCCAAAGCCCCCGAAGCCTCCGTGCCGCAGCCAGGAGCTTCAAACAGACAAAGAGCTCGAAAGGCCCCTCGGCGTATTCAGGGGGCTAGTGGTTCAGAGGTGTAGGGTTTGGAGTTTGGGGGTTTATAGGAAACTCCAGAAAGTTGGAATATGGTTTCATGGTAGGATACCCTATAATTTACCATAGAAGGGTTAGGATAATCATATTCCAACTTTCTGGCTTTTACCTTAGGGGTTTCAGGGGCATAGGGGTTTAGGGTTTGGAGGTTTAGGGCTTAGGGGCTTAGAAGTTTACGGGTTCGGGCGTTTTTGGGTTTAGGGGGTTTAGGGCTGCAGAGGGTTTAGGTGTTCAGGGGCTTAAGGGGTTTAGGGCCTAAGGGGTTTAGGGTTTAGGGGCTTAAGGGGTTTAGGGCCTAAGGGGTTTAGGGTTTAAGGTCTAGGCTTTGAGGTTCAGGGCGTAGGGTTTTTGGACCCCTGAGCGACCGGATGCCTTAAAAGGAACTGCTAGGACGCCCAGTAGTACCCTTATTCCCTTTTTGTAGTCCTAGGTTCCTCACAAAGGTACCCAATACCAAAAAAGGGAGCCCTTTTTGTTCAAAGGTTACTGAGCATCTTAGACTGCAATACGCATGTTGAACCAAGGGGATTTATTTATCAATCAGGGCTCTGCAGATCAAGAGGGGTGATCAAGTTACCCCTGCCCTTCGACTTTTGCCGGGAGGGCTCGTTTGAAAGAGTTCGGATTCCCGGATAGGAATCCATACGTCGCAAGTCTTGATGGTTGCATGTCCAAGTCCCGGTGCTGGCAAAAGGTACTGGTTAAGGTTTGGGGTTGAGTGCTGCTGGGGCTTACCACACAGCCTGCACAGCTTTTCCGTTCCTACTGCGAGATGTCTTGCAAGTTGCAGGACTTTCAGTAAACTTAGGACTTTTGTTCCTGCCCCTCGATGCACTCGTGCCTTGAGAGCAGAGCTTTAACATCAAACCCCTAAACCCGCTAAACCCTAAATGCCCAGTGACAGGAGGGGAAAGGGAGCGCACAACAAACTCAACACCCAGAGCCGCCACCCCGAAACCCTTCACCCACTGTGCCTCAAACAGCCCTCAATAAAGCAAGCCTCAACCCTGACTCTTAGGACCAACTTTTTGGGTTTCTATATGAACAAAAGTAAGGAGGCTGAAAGTTTAACTTTTAGGAGGGGTTCAGAAGTCAGCCAAGAACCCTCAACCCTAAACCCCATAAATCCTGGTACGAAGCTCGACGTGACTCAGGAGAAGGACTTTCGACCTCCGCCGAAATCTAAATTTTCCCTTGTCGGCTCACGGTTTGCGTTTTAGGGGGTGGTGGATCCATAGGGTTGTAGAGGGGTTCGGAACTGCTGTTCATGATTCCCTGGCTTAATCGCGTAATGCAAGGGCATGAACTCCGACTATGGGGTTTGGGTTTCAAACTAATCCTTAATAGCTAGACTAGGGTTTTTTGGGGCCCATGATACCACAATTATATAAGGACTCCCCCCCCCCCCCAGAAAAGTATGTGTAATTATTCAGGCCCCTGTAGTATGTCGCGGCGCCCTTTAAGGAACAGTCTGTTTTCGTCCCCCCATCTTAAGCCTGATGACGAACCCAGACCCCCGGGAGGATCCAAACAGTAGATCCCTTAATGGGGGTTCCTATAAAGTACCCTTAGTAGTATAGGGCCCCAAATTAGGGGATCTACTTTCTAGATCCTCCCGGGGGTCTGGGAAGAGAGCTCCAGCTCTTTGGTTGCGGCAGCACCCGCCGAGGTGGATCCAGGACGTTTGGGTGAAGCAGTTCCTCGGAGTTGGTTGGGTACTGTAGGGGTTGTGGCAGTGAGAAGTCAGAATCTTTATCGGGGTTTAGGTGATTAGGGCCTAAAGGGTTTAGGAGGAGTATCGCTTTGGTTTAGAGTCATAGGGTTTAGGATTTAGGGTTTAATGGGTGTAAGCTGTCCTGAACAAAACACAGCCCGGAGTCGTTCCTGCGGGAAGCGGAGTGAGTGCTGGGTAAAGATTATCTACAGTGAATAAACATACCCCAAAACCAACCAAAACCCTACATTCCCTAAACATAATATGCCAACATGGTTCCAGCTTATTGTGGCTAAAGGTGCTCGACTGGCAAACTTATGCAGTTCCTTGCTTGTAAAGCTCGGCATTCTAGTCGTGGGTATTCAACACTGTTCAAGTCTAGGGGCTTTGTGCAGGTGCCGGAGCTTTGCATCAGCATCGTCATCACCATCTTAGCACCGTCAATGCAAGAGAAGACACGAGCACGACCACATCACGATTACAGCTGAATAGCAGTTCACAGCCTCGTATCAGCATCAGCCCACCGCCAACATCTGCACTTTTGCAGGCATAGCCGCCGCGAAAGCACAACCGCGAGTACACCAGCAACATCGGCAGCACCTCCACTTCCGCCACCACCATGGTAGTAATGAGCGCCAGTGCTGGCTCTGCAACGCAACAAGAGAGCCGTAATCATCGTCAATGGCGTCGTCCGCCTGCGAGAGCGTGCCATCCTCTATAAGGCTTAGAGCTACGCTGCAGCCAAGGTTCGGCAACGTGGCAAAGACCCACGAAATGATCTTCGGTAGCGGAGAATGAGCTGAGTGAGCTGTTGATCTGAGTATGCCTTAGGGGCACTTAGAAATAATTGATAATTTTTGTTATTATAATCCCTAAGAAACAGCTAAAATTAACATTTTTGCTAGGGTTCTAAGTTCAGTATAGATGCATGTGAGTTCAAAGCGAGAGACCAGCAATAGAGACTCTAAGCCTCGGGATCCTCGATGCACCCTCCCCCCCCTCATTCGGAGGCCTCAAATGGTGGGATGAAGGTAGGTGGGATATTCCCAAATAAGAGTCCTTATATAGGGGATCCTTAATCCTACCTACCTTCATCCCACCTTTTGAGGCCTCCGATCATTGCACCTCCCAACTCTCCTTCTGCCCGCTCTTTGTTAGTGCTTAGGGTTTAAGTCTACGTCTTTCTTGGATGATCCATGTGGGTAGTTGTCAAAATTATTGTCCCTTTTTTGGGTAGCCCAGATAATAGGTGCCGTATAATAATAGGGGACCCAAACAGGGACCATAATTTTGACGGCCACGCATGTGTAAGTTCTCGCCAGGGCATCGTTACCTCGCCTCAGCTCATAGGGATCCTTAGGGGTGTAGGGGGGAGGGGTGTAGGGGACTATATTTCCTTAAATGGGCCTTATTAGTCCTTATTATGGGCCTTAAGGCCCCCTACCCCCCCTCCCCCTACACCCCTAAGGATCCCTATGATCAGCCTCTGGTCCGGCACAGCTGCGCAGTTTGCCGGATATCTCAGCCCAGCCCCGAAACCTGAACCTTTAGCCCAGAGCCTGCGAGATCTGCAGATACTCTAGTTCAGCCGTCTCGGACGTGGGACGTCAGATTACAAATCTGCATGCTGCGCAAAGTTTGAGTGAATTACCCTGCCTCCTAGACTTGCCTATACTCTCCATTGTAGTTCTTTTTTTGGTTAACCAATTTTATGGCTAGGACCCTGTAATTACTAGAGATTTTGGTTAACCAAAAAAAGGAACTACAATGGAGACTATAGGTAGATAGTGAACGGTGGAACTTTAAACTTTTAGGCCTTTTCTATTAGCTCTATCTGAGAAAGTTTGAGCTTTTTGGGGCCCGGTTGTTGAAGAAGAGAGGATTGCAGTTGTAGGTTGAGGGTATAGGTTTTACGGTTTTGGGTTTGAAGGTTCGGGGTTCACCCGGAAACAGTAACAGCGAACTTTCACAGTGTCTGCAGCACGCACTCAGCAGTCACTTTTGCGTGGGGCAGTGCTCCCTGATCGCTTCATGACGAGTGAGAATGCGCCGAGCTCTTCCAAAAAGAGCAGGAATTGCATGTCGCTTCTCATCTTCGGTAGTGACTATCAGGGTTCCTTGAAGATCTTGAAAGGTTCCTTTAGGGATTCCTTTATTTAGAGGTTCCCTTTAACGGTTCCTTTAGGGGTTCCTTTGCCTCAAGCCGGGCCCAAGCACGACTGAAGGCGGATGAGAGGGTTTGCATGGGGTTAAATATGAATTTGAACAGGCTTTTGTAGGGTTTGAGAAGGGTGCTATAGGGCTTTGGGCCTTAAGAGACAGCACAGGTTTTGGGGGAAGACTATTGCCTAATCAGACGGCCGTTTGTTTCAGACCCCTTACTTATGAATAGGTGGGGCTAACCTCTTCTCCGATTTAAAGCCGACACCTCAAGCCATCAATCGCTTTACTTCGGGCCTAAACCTTATGCTTATTTAGGGGTCAGCGACCCCTTAACCCTAAACCTTATGTTTAGAGTTTATTTAGGGTATAGGGAACCCTACCAATAGGCTCCATGGTAGTGTTTTCTTCTGGGATTACCTTCAAGGGTCCCCAATTATATGAACCACAAAAAGGAACTACAATGGAGCCTATGGATAGACCCTGGCCAACCCCAAACCCCAAACCCTAAACCCTAGCCTTACCTTAACCTCACGTAACCTACCTTTTTAAGGACTTTTATAAAGAAATCATATTAGGGAACCCTAGAAAGGCAGGTTCCTCAGGGTCCAGGTAACCCCTACTTGGCTAAAGTATGTGCTGCAAGTAAGGCAGCGGGATTGCGATGGAAGGGCACGAGGACTGGGATGGATGGGGTAGCGGAAGCCGTTAAGGATTCCTTGCACGGGTTGCTTTTAGGGTTCCTTTAGGGGTTCCGTTAAGGATTCATGTTGTGGGTTCGGTTAAACATTCCGTAAAGGATTCCTTCCAGTGTTCCTTGAATATCAGAGTTTTGTGTGTGTGTGTGTGTGTGTTTGTGTGTTTGTGTGTGTGTTTGTGTGTGTGTGTGTGTGTGTGTGTGTGTGTGTGTGTGTGGGTGGGTGGGTGGGTGGGTGGGTGGGTGGGTGGGGAGGGTTTGGCCTTTTTTTGCTGAAGGGGGGTGGGCTTTCGGGTCTTGCAATTACTGGGTTTAGTTTAGTATTTGGGAAGTTGAGGGTTTAGGGTTCTTTGGGTATCCTATCACGCACTCCTGTGGAGTGGGTCTGGGTGCCGTGTCTACTGAGGTCTTCGGCTATTTCAGGCCCTAAGCCCTACAACCCTAAAACCCTAAAACCCTAAAACCCTAAACCCTAAAACCTTAAAACCCTAAACCCTAAAACCCTAAAACCCTAAAACCCTAAAACCCTAAAACCCTAAACCCTAAAACCCTAAACCCTACAACCCTAAAACCCAAAACCCTAAACCGCCGAAGTCTAAGAGTTCCCTCACCTGAACTATGAAAGCGGAAAGCTAACCACCTTTAAGCCCTACACCCCGCGATCCTAAAATCCTCATACCCTAGACCCTAAACCCCTAACCACTGAACCTAATGTTGTATCTATCAAATGCTAAACAACCCTAAGCCCGCCAGAAACCCTTTAAACCTTAAGAACTAAATCCTAAAGACATTTAAAGTCCGGCAGCAGACCTAAGCCACGAGGACCTACCTTCTGTGCCCCCTCCTCAGTGCTTTGGGAGTCGAGTCTTGTGGGTTTCGCTTTGGGTTTGGAGCCTCAACGTTTACCAGGACCCCGCAAAGGCCCTGTAACTGGAGTCCTTATGGCCCTTAATAGTGGGTATTTGGGGTATATTAGAGGGTAGTTGGGGTCTTCTTGGTGGCCATTGCTGGGATGAGCAACGCACGTAACGCTGTTCGTGCCAATGTGTTGCGTGAGCAGCAACGAGTTATAGGTGGACAGTGCCGACGCATCCATCTGGATAATTTGCTGACGATCCTGGACGAAGCTTATCGTTAAGACCTGCAGGGCCAATTTTTTCCTGATTTTTTCGCTCCTGGGTGCATCAGCTCTGAATGCACCAAATAGAAAATGCGGAAATGTCTGAGTGGTACCGCCAGTACCAGGGCTGGCACGCCATGTGCATTACCGTGCTGTGAGCACAACTTCGTGCGGCACGCGGCAGGCCACGCCGCCAATGGCGCTTGGCCGTGGTAGGTCTCGATATCAAAAGTCATCAAGCAGTCCCAGCCTTATCCAGGGCAGCGTCGTCCTAGACCAAGGCTGTGATGCAGCCCGCCTGTCCACGTCCCCAGCTGACGTTCGTATCCCTTGAGGTGGGCCCTCTGCCTGGTTTTCTGATCAAGGTTATATGGTTACTAGCCCCATACGAGAGCACGTCAGGCAGCTCCTGCCTCCACGACTGGTGCTCTCGCCCTGTGCAAGGCCTCCTGCCACGGTTGGCTCACGAGGTTCATCAGCCCACTCTCTGGACCCCACCCTTTACACGCAGTGCCATTTTTCCAGACGCTGAGAGCGATGGGTTCTCCCTTCCGACCGCTTGCCGCTGGACCTTTCTGCCATGGCCTACCGATGCCACCGTGCCATCGGCGGCAGTTGGACTGAGCGCCTCCACGCCCATGCAGATGTGGCCGCTCTTGCTGGACGGGCGACGCAAGGCGCATCTGTCCACTCTGCCAATCTGGGCCTGGCACGCCTCGCCATGTCATCATGTCGTGTAAGGCCTTAGCCCCGGCCGCAGACATGCTACGCGACGACATAAAGGCTGAACTCCAAACCCTCGCAACCGCTGAGTCACTCCGCCAAGCAGCCCAGGCCTGGCAACATCAGGCTGACGCCCCCCCGGCTCAATGCGCAGCACAAGACGGGTACTGTTTGTCATACATCAAATGTGTAACTAAAAACTATTGAAAATATTGTTCTAACTACTAAGGCCTATATAGTTACAGTGTCATGTACACCAGAAATCAATCATGTTTTCATGATTGCGCCCTTTCGCAGAGACTCCAATATCCGTTAATTAGGGAATGTACCTGAAATTAAAGTAGGATCCCGAATATGATTTAAGGAATATTCCTTTATTAAGGGACATTGGAGTCTTTGGGCTATGTTAAGCCCGAGAGTCGAAAACCAAAGGTTTGAACATCAAAATATGATTTGGGGTCTGAGGGCTTTTGCTTTTCTAGGACCCAGAGTAGGCCTTTATTCCCTTCTTTAAGGTTTAGGTTCCCTTATAACACCCTTTAAACCAAAAAGGGCACCCTTTTTATTCCTAGGTTGCTCTGAGGTCTCGTTTTGCGGCTATGAATGTTCAGGGCTCAGGTTTTCCAGGTTTGGGATTTAGTGTTGCGGGTTAGGCTTTAGGGTTTAGACGTTAGGGGTGGAGGGCTTAGTTTTTAGACGATTTCCGTACCTGGTTTCGGGGGATCTTGATCTTGATGATCCGAATACAAATATCTTGCTGCTGCTGTGGCAATGCACGAGAGCCTTGACCGGGCCATAAGAAGGCCAAAGAATCTGCAACAAAGGGGCCTGAATAATTAGAATAGGGCTTTGGAGCCCATTGTACTATAATTATGATAAGGACTCCCCACAACAGTATTATTGGTAATTATTTAGGCCCCAACAGTAAGGGCGAAGTTTAGATCTGCAGCTTTCTATCGTAATGCAACAGCGCGGTCTTTTGTTTTTTTCTTGGTTGCTTGGGAAGCAAAGGCCCGAAGCTCCAACGTGATTTTCTTCACGGCACGATTCCGGAAGAGGCAGCCACCGCTGTAATCAGCGGCAGCAACTCGCGACAGGAACGCAACACCCTCGATGAGACACCAACTGGAGCACCGACAAAGTGCGACTTGAGTTCAAACGCTATGCTATTGGCAGTACCCTCCCCTAAACCTTCAACGCTCCACGCCGCAGAACCTAAACCGTATGAACCCCAAACCCCGAAGGCCAAAGCCATCAAGTCCCAAACCCTGAAACCCTGAGCCAGATGTGCTGGAGTTGAAAAGCGACCTGACCCTTCTTCTAAAGGAAAGGTGGTGAACGCCCCAAGCCCTAAACTTACGCCGAAACTCGAAAGTCCTAAACCCCATTCTAAGGCTCCAAAGGACACCATAGTTAGGTACTTGGCAGTTGGCTGCAGACAGTGGTAGTGTCTTCGTACTTGCGAGTGTGTATGATTATAATGCAATTGCACCCGTGGGCTCCTAGTCGACCCAAACCCAACAAAACAGTAGGTCATGACTGCCCATGAATGTCGTAGGGTATATCTCATAAAGCAGTAGTGCTAAGATCACACAGGTTCACCTGTACTCCCTGAGCTTCGAAGCCCAAACACGCTTAGGCCGTGGCTTCCGAGAGCGCCCTGGCTTTCCACGTGTTGGGCGTTTTGGTGCTGAATGAAGTCCGTTGCTTTTCGTTGGTTAAGGCTGTAGGGTTGCTATAGGTTTTTATCGGGGTTGAAAGGGTTCACAAGTGTTGGCAAGAGGGCTTCAGGATTCAGGGTTGTCGGGAAATGTGTACAGTGTACGGGAGGTTCGTCATCAAAGTTTGCCTGCAGACAGAGTCCTGGAAATACCTGCAGTAGGTTTGGCTAAAGCATTTAACTTAAGTTCTTATAGTACGAAAATTTCTTCATCCACTATATTGTATATCTCCCTAAACCCCAAACCACTAGACCCTAAACTAAACCCCAAACCCATAAACTGCGAAACCCTAAACCCCAAGTACACTTATCCAGCTTGTCCAGCTTGGATGAAGTACAAGCACCTACCAGCGCATAACCTTAGCTTTCTGTTTGTTTTACAGGGTCATAGCACTAGGGATTCAGGGCGTAGCGTTAAGCTAGGGGCCTTAATGATTAGATTAGGTTTTGGTGCTAATATTATAATTATAGTACGGAACCCCCAAAGTAGTAACCCTAAACCTAAACCCTAAACTAAACCCCCTAAACCATAATCTAGACCCCATATCTTAGGTGTTAAAGGAAGTCCGAACCCCCAAACCCGCAGAGCACTGCATCGAAAAGCTCCCAACAGAAAGCTTAAGCTCAGAAAGTCGTGGGGACCGAGTCGAAACTAGCCACGGCCAACCTGAAAACGCAAGCCTTCGGTGGGGATTCAAGAACCAAAATCCTACTGTTTTGGGTGTTACACCCTTCAATACAAGGGTCATGACGTACTATTTTGTATGGTTTGGGGATGCACGTACACCATAAAATGCTCGAGCAAAGGAGACGCATCCTGTGCCGAGCCAGTCGCGAGACCCCGTTCAGCAGCTGCACCAGACACAGGCAAAGCAGGGGTTTCTGGCTTTGTCCAGGGCATAGCTGAAAGCGTGAAAGGCTTTGGGGTTTAGGGTTAGGGGTTTAGGGTTTCATCGGGTTTCATCGATATGGGGGGATGTGTATTCAAATTAGGGGTGCCTGTTTTATCCATATGCTGCCGCATTTTCTACCACTCCTCTATCAACAAAGGTCTTCTGCAAGATTAGGGCTGTTCCAGCCGGAGGGATGTTTTGACCAAAGATCCAATGATGGAACCTGTGACCTACATGCCTCCTTGACCGCTTGCCTAGTAGTAGAGTAGGTAACCTTTAACCTTTTTGAAATATTATGAACCCTATATAAGCCCTATATAACTCAAAAGGCTAAGCTTTCGTTCCCCATGATACCCGACAAGTAGGCTTCTGCTGGGGTATTCTGTTTTCTTGCGAGGGGTACGGCTTCAGCCGCCCGGAGCTTCCTGATGTTGGAGTTTTGGGTGTCAGCAATAAACCAGGAAGTCTTAGGGTTTGGGGTGCTGTACAAATCCTAAAAGTTAACTTGGCTCCCGTACTGAAACGTTCCAAGCTCTACAAACGCAGATGGACCACCGCGCAAGATATTTGCAACACAGTCCACCATCCCCGCCTGCACCCAGGGAATCTTAAAGCCACAGGCCTCAAGCTTACGGAATTCAATGCCGACCCCAAAAAGGAACGCTAAACCCAATGTCCTGAAGGTGAGCAACAAAATTTCGTATCCTCCCTGTACCAACGGTGGGGCTGTCTCCTTTACGCTGTTGGCACAGGCCTGGCCCGATCTGGTCTGAGATACAGGCTCTAGTGTTCGGGGGTCGGGTCTACAATCCCCTAGGCAAGCCTTGACCTTATTCAGGCAGTGCATACAGGGTCTAGTGTTCTGGCGTTTTTCTTTGGGGTCTGATCCATATCAGCCTAGAAAGACAGGGTTGGAGGGGTTGCCTATTCTAGCTGGGGTTTAACATTTAGGGTTCAGGGTTCAGGGTCCAGGGGTTTCGGTCGGGGTCGCAGGAGGTTTTGTCAAGGATGGACCCTTGGAGCCCCGACCGGATCCCCAGCCACAAAGCCCAACTACGGTTGATGATATAAATCCTGCATGACCTTAAGGACCCTAAACTATGGGAATTATGGTATGTTCCTGATCATGGGTAATGCAGGATTTATATCATCAACCGTATCAGTATTACTTTTAGTACTACTTCTATTCTTGCTGTTACTATTGGCAGCAGAGTCAAGATGGTGGCACAGGAGCAGGAAGGCCAGAGCTTGAAGCAAACGGCCAGGGAACCACCACAGACGTCTCTTCGTCTCTTTCATCAGACAAACCCTCAAGAGTAATCCCCAACTCCATACCCCGAAAAACCCTACCCTACGCCTCAAACCCTGAAGCCTAAGCCCCAACTCGTAAGCCCTAGCCCTAAAACCCTAAAGGCCTTCAACCCTCAAACCCTAAGCCGGAGTTCAAAACCTCACAGCCTTCAAGCTATAAGCCCTTCACCCTAAACCCTGCCCGAAGCCCTAAACCCCTGAAGCCTAAACCCTAAATCGGTAAACCTTAAACCCCTGAACCCTAAACCCTAAACTACACTGAACTTAGAACCCTAGCACAAATTATTACTTTGGCTGTTTCTGAGGGGTTATAATAACCAAAAATTAAAAACTATTTCTAAGTATCCCTAAGTAAACCCCTGAGCCCTAAAGCCCTGCAGCGCACAGAACATCAACATATCGGAGCTCTGCAGCCGAAGAAACCTGGCTTCTGCTTTCAAGGCTCAGCTCTTTCGGGGTTTAGGTTTTACAGGGTTTTCAGGGTTTTAGAAGTTTAGGTTGATTTTGGTTTTCAAGTTTTTTAAGGTTTTTAGGACTTTAGAGGTTTGGGGTTTAGGGTTCTTAGGGTTTTAAGGTTCAGGGGTTAGGTTTTACAGGGTTCAAGGGTTTTAGAGGTTTTGGGGCTTCAGGGGTTGTGGGGTTCAGGGCTTTCAAGGTTTATATCGCATTGTTGATAAGGGACCGCTGTGGAGGGGACCCATGTGGGTGTACTTTGCCGAATGCGCGTGGTGCGCCCTAAACCCTAAAACCTAAACCCATGGGACAGAATGGGGCAATGGGTTTCCCATGAGGCCCTCCCATTCGGCAATCCCCTCCACAGGGGGGCTTTGGGGGTTTGGGCTTGAGGGGTTTCAGGGTGTGGGGGTTCAGAGTTTAGGGATGGGTTTATGGCTGGGCTCTTTCTAGGACTCCGGAGACATCTTCGTGGGAGCGTTGAAGACGTAGGTTATGGGGTTTGACACAATCGGCTCTGGGGTGTAGGCTGTAGAGAAACTTTTCAGTGGCCTTGTTGTCTTGAAGCACTTTTGCTGTCAGTGTTGGTAGGATGTGTTTGAAGGCTCCTTGTTGAGCGGTCCGATGTCTTTCCGCCTTCCGTTTGCCGGTCCGGGATGGGTGCACAGACTTGTATTGAGAACACGTGTTGAGTCACCTTATTGACTTACCAGTTTCTTCGGTACTGCATTTTCCGGTTTGGGTAGAATCTCTTTCGAGGGAATTGGCCCTAAACCCTAAACCCCAAACCCCTAAACCCCTAAACCCTACACCCTAAACCCGAAACCCTAATTTCGAGAAAAATTGGCTTTTCAAAATCAGGCCTGCGCGATGCGGCTGTCGGCCGCAGAAGCCATACAAATCTAGGCGAAGCCTGAAGAGGTCCTACGGTGATTCTCACAACACTCCTCTAGCAAACGTGTGGATCTGAGCCCTGAACCCAAACCCTATAATTAGATTCCACTTTTTTAGATGTAAACCTAAGCTCTAACCCAGCACCTTGAACCAAACATATCGCGCATATGTCCGATGCAGCTATGAGCAAGATCTGAATGATGTAGAAACTACCTATAGTCTCCATTGTAGTTCCTTTTTTTGGTTATCCAATTCTATGGTTAGGACCCTATAATAGAGATTTTGGATAATTAACCAAAAAAAGGAACTACAATGGAGACTATAGGTAGAAGTGAGACTTGATAGTCCCTGTGGAAGAACCCTTTTTTTTGAAAGGAATTAGCATTCTAGTAAGGCTCCTGTACTGTCTGGTTCTTAGTGGGGAATGGGGTAATGGATCCCTATGATAGTCCCTGAACGTCCCCTGTAGGAGTCCCAATAACCCATTCTCCATTCCACGAAAATTAGGGGTACCTTGTTGTGGGGTCCCTGTAAAAAGGATCGTGCTGTTAGGGTACTATATGAAGTGTCCTCGACTCTCTCGCATATCATATAAGCGGGCTTACGTTCCCAGAGAGCCCAATACCCCTTAATTGAGGAATATACCTTAAACTATAAGGGGGTTCATATGGGTGGTTGTCAAAATTAGGGTCCCTTTTTGGGTCCATAAAAAAGTACGGCACGTAATATTTAGGGTAGCCAAAAAGGGAACTTAATTTTGACAACCACCCTAATATCATGATTTAAGCTATACCTTAACCCCACGTAACCTACCTTTTGAAGGACTTATATAAAGAAATCATATTAAGGAGCCCCAAAAAGATAGGTTCCTTAAAGTCCAGGTATTCCTTAATTAAGGGGTATTGGGCTCTCTGGGTTTTCCTGCTCTAGGCCTCCTCAGCCCAGACCCCCGGGAGGATCTAGATCCCCTAATTCGGGAGTTTCCGAAATTAGGGGTAGCTTATTTTGGGGTCCTTATAACAAGGATCCTATATACTACGTAGGGTACTATATTAAGGTCCCCTATTTTCGGAAACTCCCATTTGGGGCCCTATACTACTGAGGGTACTTTATAGGAGCCCCCATGAAGGGAGCTACTTTTTGGATCCTCCAGGCGGCTATCCAGTCTGCCGTGGCGCAGGAGAGTCCGCAGTAGTAGCGGAGTTGCAGCTTTCCAACATGAGAGTTCGTGGGGCAGGCAGTAAAGGCTTCTGGTGGGATATATCGGTTCTAAGCGGGTGTTTATGGATTATGGAGTGTTTTTTGTCAGGGTCTTATAGGTTTTTTATACAGCATGTGGGCAATACACCTTAGCATGGAATCGTCATAAGTCATCTTTAGAAACCATCGGTGCAAGTTGGGTGGGTAGCTGGAGTTTTGGGTTCAGCTTGGCTTCTTGTTGGGGGATATTGTAATTAATTAGACCCTCCAGCCACTTTCGACTTAAGCCTCAACTGCGTGATAGAGCTTCAGGGTTCAGGCCTCTGGTCTTTTTAGAGATTTTTGTTGAACTTTAAACACGACCTTCAATGATCTTCAATACGAAAAGCTTGTCTGCCATTACATGTCGGAATGGTTTGAACCTCCATGACCAATATCACAGTATCTCGTCCCCCTAAACCCTAAACCTTAGAAGGGGCCCCCACCATGTAATAGTGACTATAAGGATTGTATTTGGGCCTTATTATATTCCTATTTTACAACTATTACAGGGTGGGGGCCCCTTCTAACCTAAACCCGTACCCCTCCCCCCCGAACCCATTATCCTCAGGCCCTGCACCTTGGAAAGTCGAAGCCCCGAACCCGAAACGAAGACTTCACAGGGACGCCTTCAAGTGAAGCATAACTTATTATGCAGTGGTTCAAAGAGCTAAAAAGGAATCAAGGTAGGTGAGGTAAACCCATAGGGGTCCTTAGATGAGGAATCCTCAACTTCAATCCTGGCCACCTTCATCACACTGCTTTGAGGTTCCCGAGCAAAACAGGAGCTGGGCCACAACTTCCTGCCCTAAACCCTAAACCCTAAACCCCGTCAAGTTAAGCCCTTAAAGCAGGAGCTGGGCCACAACTTCCTGCCCGAGTATGTCGATGTACGGCTGAGCCCCGACTCTGCCGCCATTCCTGTGGCGACCTGGCTTGGCTTATGGGTTTTGTAGGGTTCCTTTAAAGGCCTCTATATAACGGTTACTATAAGGGATCTATAGTAGGGTTCTAGAATACAGGGGCCTTCATATAATTAGAATAGGGTTGTGGGCCCACTAGACTATATTTATGATAAGGAACCCCGAGATTAGTACAGGTAATTATAGTAAGGCTGTTTTCCGAGCTCTGGCGGCTTAGGGTTTTGACCTAATCCCAAAACCCGTCTATAAACCCCCCAAAGCTGAAATCCTAACCTAATCCGAACTGAAACCTAAACCCTTTTAGGTTCCAGTAGGTTCCAGTTTTTGACCTGCACCCTCCATGAAGGTCTTTGTGGAGTTTGTCATCGTTTGGTTGTTTGGATAACTGCGATACCCCAAGCCCAGAGCCTTAGGCCCTAAGCTTACGTTTGGTTAGTAGGGAATGGAGGAATGGGGTACAATTGTAACTACTATTGCTACCATTCTTCCATTCCCTACCAACCAAAGGTAAGTAAGGCCCCAAGCCCGAAACTCTTAACCCAAAGCCCGAAACCCCCAACCCACTGAACACTGAGCCCTGTTCCCGAAGTCCTATAGTAAAAGCCAGACAGTTGGAATATGATTATCTTCACAATTTAAGGTAAATTATAGGGGATCCTACCATTAATCCATATTCCAACTTTCTGGAGTTCCCTTTAGGTGGTACTGCCTCCTGCCGGGATGTCGGCGAGGGAGCTGCATGCACAGCTTTGCACTCGACAGCTCCCGGGCTGGTCGGTTGCAGGCATCGAACGGGGATTTCTTGGGGAAAGTCCCTAATTTAGGGGCTTTAGGGCCCCGTTCATGGGGAGCCCAAAGTAAGTTTTCAGGAACCCAGCGTACTCTGAATAGCGACTGAGGTGGTTGAACTCGTGCTTCGTACATATGTCTATTTTATACAGGACTTGTATTGTAGACTGGGGACGTTTCATGCTGTCGGTCTGGGGTACACTTTCATGAAGAAGAGCGTATGGCGTTGAGAGTTTGCTGTTTTTGGGCCTGGGTACGAACATGTTTGAGTCCCTTCTGCTCTGCCATGCTGTCAGAAAAGCTTGTAGATATGACGCACGGCTGCCACACCCCCCCCTCGACCCCGCCCCCACCGAATGGTATCCTCCCCCCTTCCTCCCCGGCCCCCCCTGTTATTCTTTTTGCCGCGACGTTCTGATGTGTTACTCCTTGTCTTCCCTCTTGCTGTGGCACCGGTGATACTGCTCATGATGTTGTGCTGGGACATGAGTCGACAAGCAGACCATGCTCAACATCATCCTTGTCGTCGTCATCTGCATCATTAATGCCATCAAAATAATATCTGCCACCATCACCATCGCCATACAACCCTGAGGCGGGCAGGTGCAGGCGGGCCGGGGTGGGCGGGGGAGGGCGTGCAGCAGCAGGGCAGCATGGGGGGGATACCATTGCGGGGGGGGGTGGCGGCCCGGGACCCGAGAGCACATATACCTGCATCTTCTGTTGCAAGCCCACCCCCAACAGAAAGCTAAAACGCAACCAAACAGAGCAGTCGCCGTGAGACCATATACCTTAAACCCCTTGGGGAACTCTTATGTTGGGGAACTCTTATCTTCTGCGGTACAAAGCCCAAAGCTGTTGAGAAGCCCTTGAGCCCTAAACCCTTCGCTACAGACCGCCGTTCGACTCGCTGGATTTCTTCAACGAGCCGTTAGTCAACTCGGAGAGTCTTACACAATGTTAGAGAAAAGTAAAGAACAAAACCTTATAAACCCTAAAACCATTCCTTTGGGAGGTCGCGTCGCTAGCCTGGAAGGGTTCCGAAGTGTTTGCCTCTCCTCTCTGTGGGCCCGGCCCTTGGTATTTTAACGTCGTTTCATCAAGTTTGTTGTTTTGGAGGAGGGGGGGCGAGGGGCGCAAGGCTTTGATCGAGTTTTGATAAGGCTTTCTAAAAGGAGGGCTGTAACAGATTTGTTTTGTGAGGGAGGGGTCGGGGGGGTGGGGCGTCGTGTTTTTTGCTTTGAGGTTCGTTGGGTTTGGTGGCTTAGGATTCAGGATTCGCAGCTTTCAGAAATTGAATACAGACCTAGAGCTTGGGCGTTTAGAGTTTGAGTTTGGGCTTTGGGGCGTGTTCGTTTTTGGACTCAGGGAGCGGGGTTTCGGGGTTTCAGGGTTTAGGGTTTAGGGTTTAGGTTTTGGGGAGGGTGATGAGTTATGGTACATGCATTTAAGTTTGTCTCATGGCGTCGTTTCTTTTGCAAGACTTGCTGAACCATAGGAAGCACCCTAAGCCATGAACCCTTCTAAACCTAACCTTGGCTACTACTGAGCAGCCGCCAGTTTTGGCATTTTGCAAGGTTTGCTGGTCAGATGTCATAAATAGCAGTAGGGTGCCAGCATCCTTGCTACAAGACCCCCTGCCCCCTGCCATGTTTATGTGATTTCGTGCGTGTTGAGGACGGCGATTGTAAGTGCGCTGCCCGTCTAGGTTTAGCATTGAGTTACGTTGCATTCAGGGCCGACATGAGCACACGGCTGTTGAGCAGGATATTGCTGATTATTTGAGTCATCCCTGGACCTTTGATTTGTTGGCCAACCTGGCTACATATCCAGGAACTCTAGGACCTGAGAGCTTTAACTAAGAGGGATGCTGCGCCCGTGCGGGAGTGGTAGGGCCAGCTCAACCTTACCTTTGGTTAGTATAGGGAATGGAGGGAATGGGGTACGCACCCTTTCCCTACTAACCAAAGGTAAGAAACTGAGCCAAACATGCCCTTTCAGGCCAATCCGAGGTCGTAGGTTTCATGAAGTCCTGCGTTTAGGGTTTAGGGCGTATAGGGTTTAGGGTTTCCTCAACCCTACCCCTGGCTTTATTCCACTGATACAGCCCTGGTTAGACGCAACTGTTTGAGCCGCTGGAGGTCCTTTGTAGCGTTGGCATGCCCTCCGTGGTCGCAGCGGCTTTGCCAAGAAGTGGGGGGGGCTCGTGGAGTTTCAGGCTTGCGGGGGCATTGTTAGTTTGTCGCAAGATCCACCCTCCCAAACCCTAGACTGTGTCCCTAAAAGACTAAACCTAAACCCTAGACCATTCAACATTGACGACCCAAACTCAGGTAGCTTCCGATGAGCTCGCGTCCACCACGGTTTCTGCTGGGTCTCCCCTGGCGGTCGCCTGGCAGCAGCTGGCTGATAAGGTCTCGGGCGAGAGTTTTGGCCTAAAGGTTTTTTTAGGGTGTAGGTTAAGGCTTTAACCTGTTTATATAGAGGTATATAAGGCAAGGCTTCATAAGGTTCTTTCAGGGTCTAGTGCTTAGTGTTTAAGTCCGTAGCCCCAAAACAACACGACAGAACAAGAACAGACGTAGCAAGAGGAACGACAATACTACTAACTCCTGACAACGGTACGAAAAGAATCGGAAAATAGTCAGATTAAGAATATTAGTCATATGGAGAACTGCCTAGTCGTCGAGCAGGTAACCTTTAACCTTTTTTGGGTAGTATAGTCCCTATACAATCCCTATATAACCAAAAAGGTTAACCTTCAGTTCCCCATGATACCCGACAAGTAGGACTATGTTTATAGTGACGATGAACCGGGGCGATCTCGCGAGGAAGGGCTGGAGCACAAGAGCTCGAGCCTGGACGTCCCGGAGGTCCCTCAGGCAGGGGGCCTTGCGTTGTGGTTGCCCAACTTAGGGGCTGAGTAGGTAACCTTTAACCTTTTAGGGTTTATATGATCCTACTATAATTCAAAAGGTTAACCTTTTTTGGGCTGGGGCACTCAGCCCCTAAGCCAAGGGCCCGAAAGACCCAATAATCAGAAAGTCGGTTTGAGGACAGAAGTTATGTAGGTTAGGGTTTTGGAGAGTATATGATTATTAGGTACTTGGACCCTTGGGGTTTTTGAAGGGGTGGGTAGAGGGACTTTCAGGCGGGAGGAGGTGGAGGGGGTGGGTGTTAGTGAGGTGTTAAGTTGTCGTTGGATGGGTTGTCTCTTCCCCTCTTCGGTTCCTGTGCGGTTTTGTAGGGCTTTGGGCATTGTCAAGGTTGCTTAACGGTTCTGACTGGAGTTTGGCGGCTTGGAGTAATGGAGGCCCATGGTTAATAAACATAAAACGCTGTCTTTACAAGGGTTCGATTCTAGTTGGGATCCTTATCCCAATAGTAAGCCTATTTTACCGTGGCGTTTGGTATCAGGGGTCTCCATGATGGAGGTTTGCATGAATCTCGGCGACCCGCACATCCTACAACCCTATAAGGTTCAGGGGGCTTCCGAAAATTAGGGACCCTAATATAGCACCCTAAAACGTAGGCTCTCATTATAATGACCCCGCCCCCCAAAAAACAAAAACATAAGGTGCCCCTAACTCAACCTTCGGAAGCTCCAATCAGGTTAAGGGGCCGAACTCAGAAGGCCACTACCTCGAAGATGATGCCAGACCCTGGGGGTTTGGGTTTCGGGGTCTTACATGGAACTGGTTCCAGGTATATAAGAGTTATGATATGTCATGATAGTTTCTAGCTGGCCGACATCAATCGTAGGGTTTAGAGTTTGGGCTCAGGTCGCCGAGTCCTAAAGTCTTATGCCCCCGCCGCACTGGTTCAGCCCTGTCGTAAACGCCTGAAGTCCTACCAAAGCTGCAACACCTGGCAGCAGGAGGAGATCCCGTCAATCCCGCTCCCTCAGAGCCTCCAGCCACCTGGCCTAAGATGGTTTCGATGTCGGAGTTTTAGGGTAGAAGGTTTCGGGCTTAGGGTTTAAGGTTCAGGTTGCGGGGTTCGTCATTGAGGGTTAAGGTATAAGGTCTAGGGCTTGGGTTTAGGGTTCAGGTCGTGGGGTTCATTGGTATAGGGCTCGGGTTTGGGTGTTCTGTGGGTTGTTCAGGTTCAAGGCATAAGGAGGTCGGAAGCAGGAGCTATTGCGGCTTCTGCACAAGGGTACCCGGGCATCAGAACTCGCATGCCATAAGGTCGACAGCCTTAAATAACAGCATGTGATAAGCTCTGTGTAGCTCAAACCAAAGCTTAGTGCGGAGGCTTGTAGTAGCGTGCACACGCCCATCTAGGATTCTCAAGACCTTGTAAGCATTCGATTTGTTGTAAAGCTCGAAACAGCCATCACAGCGGTTTGGGGCTTCAGTAGCTGTCTGAAAAGAGGTGTAGGATGTGAGCTATCATGACACCGGTCAATCCGATGGCGTCCCCCAATTATGGCCTAATCATTGCACTTCCGCAGCGGACGGTGACGGATTTTTGCATCTGTCTTGACCTTCAGCAAGTCGACGGGAGACTGCATGCTGACATAGGGCCCAATGTCGCGACAAGCCTAAACAGGAACCTGGACATTGGAAACCAGAGGCTAGGACCTAGAGTAGGCCCTTATTCCCTTTTTTGGGGTTCAGGTTCCCTTTATAAGCCCCTTTAAAGCAAAAAGGGTACCCTTTTTATTCCTAGGTTACTCTTAACTCTAGGAGGAAAAAGGAAGTTAAAGAGGGCCTCCCCAGTCCCAGGCGTTCTGGGCACACGCCGCGGGAAGGCTCCGATACAGCGAAGCCCCGCCGTCCGGCTGCCAAGCGAGCGACGAAGCTGCAAGAAGTCTCAGGCGGCAGGGTTTGGGGTTTAGGGTTTAGGGTGTAGTTTGGGAACCGACAACCGCCCGCTTGCAAAGGCTTGTAATCCATAGCCTCCTTGTAATCCCGACCTGCAACTTGCAAGGCAAGAGGGCTTGGGTTTCCCGAAGTGGGGGTTAACCCTAAACCCTAAACCCTATTTAGAGGTTGAGGGGCTGATTTCTGTAGGCCAAAGGATTTCGGGAAGTGAAGCCGTCCGAGCTGATGGAGGTGTACAGCGCCGAGTTGCGGATGGCGCAGTACATCTCGCCCTGACGAAACCCTAAACCCTAAGCCCTAAACCCTAAACCCTAAACCCAAAGACGTATCCCAATTTCTAATCGGCTTTCTGGAGTAGGCCAGGCTTGAAGAGACGCTTACACTACTGCTAACCTGCAGACACTGATGCTCAGGATTCAAGCCCTGGACTGGACCCTGAACCCTAAAGCCCTAAAGGGCTTCGAGGAGTCGGAATGATGAGGAAAGCATCCCCGTATAGTTACCTATACTCTTTGGGGGTTCCCTCAGAGTAGGGTTCTCTGATATAGGGGCCTTAACAATTACCAGTAGTCTCTGCTGAAATTGAAGCACAACGTTCGCTAATCCTCAGTGCTAGTTGTCAAGGCGCCACGTGTTCATCCTGTTTCTGAGCCCTATAAAGCCCAGAACCGTGAATGCCGAATGCCTTGGCCCACAAACCCTAAACCTGATATTTTAGATAATAAAATAACCTCTCAAAGTAATCTCTAACAGTGAACGCTACATCCAAAATCCCGCAACCATCAACTCCCAAACTCCAAGCAACTAAATCTGAACCCCAAGCCCTAAACCCTAAACCCCTAAACTAGGAATTTCTCACTCGTAGCAGCAGTGAGAAAAAGGAGCCACAACAACACAAAAAAAACCTGAACCCCTAAACCCTAAACCCCTAAACCGGCCCCAACCTAAAAAATCAAAAACTGAACCGATCAACTCCTAAACTCCCCAACCACCGAACTCCCGAAACCACGTTCTTTGGCAAAGGCTTCGGAGAGGCCGAAGGGCGCCAGCTCGGGGAAGGCCTTGCCAGGATTGGAGTTTAGGGTTTAGGGTTTAGGGCTTGGGGTTTATAAGGTTTAGCGCTTACGGTTCAGGGTTTAGAGTTTAGGGTTCAGGGTTTAAAGTTTAGGGTGTAGGGTTTAGAGTTTAGGGTTCAGGGATTAGACTTTAGGGTTCAGGGTTTAAAGTTTAGGGTGTAGGGTTTAGGGCTCAGGGTTTAGGGTTTAGAGGGTTTAGGGTTTGGTACTTTTCAGGGCTTAGGGTCTAGGGTTCTCTGTTTCGTTAAGGGCCCCGAAGCCCCCAAGTGTTCGATCCTGAAACTCCACACCCAAAACCCCGAAGTCTCGGCCGCCAGGCTCCTCAAGCCACAAAGCTCCTCAACCCTAAACCCCTAAACCCTGAGAACCCTCAACCCTTAAACTCAACAAAAAGACCCCAAACCCTAAACCCTCTAAATCGACTCGGGCAGGCGTAATAGTGTAAAAAATATCAAAAAACCATCATCATTATTATTATCATCATTATTATTTTATTATGATTATTATGATGATTATTATTATTGTTATTATTATTATTATTACTATTAATATTATTTCTAAATCCCTAAGCCCTGAACCTCGCATGGCCAGGTGCGCCTTAGAGGGAGCACCCAGGCCTGGCGATACGTCCGGCTTGTGGGTAGTTCTCTAAGTAGGATGCCCAGTAGTACCCTTATTCCCTTTTTGTAGTCCTAGGTTCCTTATAAAGTTACCCAATACCAAAAAGAGAGGCCTTTTTATGCTTAGGTTACTGGGTAATTATCCTAGCTAAGTAATGGTCCCTTTTTGGGTCCCCAAAATAGAAGGGCATCCGTACCACAAAAGGGGCCCTAAGTTAGAGAACTGTACATTCCAGATTAAGAGGACGAGTGGCATTGGTGTTGGGGTTTAGTGGTTTAGGGTTCGGGATTTAGGGGTTCTGGGCTTTTAGGTTTGGGCTTTGGGATTTTCAGTGAATCACCACTCACCTAGGTTTCGCGAACGATTGTAAAGCGAACCCCCGATGATCTGTGCAAAGAACCCTAGTTTTGATTATCGTGGCTCTTGTCATCTGCTTGCAGCCTCCTTGCAATACCCAAACCCTAAAACCCTCTTTTCTATACCCAGGGGGCCTGCAAACAAGGATCCCATATTTGAGGGTCCAAGTTTGTGTTTTCTATCGACCCCTAAACCCTAAATCGGTCGACCATCCTGGAACGTAGGTTCCGAACGGTTGGTCTAGAGCCATTGTCTGTCATGTTCGGGATGACATATATTGTTTGTTTTCAACGGTTAGGCTCGCTATAAAGCCGGAACCCTACCTGGGTTTGGAGTACCATACTTGAATACTTTTTTGGTACCTATTCCTTATGAAATAAAAGTCTGTACTTTTTTCTCCCTGGTTACTTCAAAGTCCAGCCTCGAGCCGGAATAGCCCATACCCTGCATGAGGTTTTGGCTCGCCGGGTTCCTTTTTCAGTGAGGAATTGGGGAATGACATCCTGTCGCCCGCCTATGTACCAGGACAGAAGCTGCAAGCTTCTCGAGATAGAGCGTAACTCAGCAAAATTAGGTTTAAGGGCCTTGGGTATCGCCCTATTATAAGCCGTGTAGCCCAAACTTATGACCATCGCTCTCGCAAGCTGGTTAACCCCAGGCCCCAAAAGGTAAAACCTATGCTGCCCGTACTAAACCCCGAACATGAATCCCCAACCCAAACCCCAAACCCTAAACCCTAAACCCTAAACCCTAAACCCTAAACCCTAAACCCTAAACCCCAACCCAAACCTCCAATCTCACTAGGGGCCTCTCAGTCCCGCACGGTCTCCGGCACGGTCCGCCGCGCGGCAGCTGGACTTTTCAGGTGCAGAGCCCGGCGCTGTTCCGCATTCCGCACATCAAGATACGAACTAAGATATGCGAAGCAGGTAGAAACAGACAGAAGCAGATACAGCTGCGGCAGGTTCAGGTAGGCTCACTTCACTACATAATTACATGCGTGAAATCATGCAAACCCTACAAGACGTGTTCATAAAGGCCTCAACCCCCAAATCCTGACAAATGACACCTACTATTACTATTCCGGTGAGTTTCTATACATTCCAGAAGCGCCCAACTTATGATTGCAACTTTTTCGGCTTAAGGCTAAGCATTCAGAGACTGAGGTATATTCTTCACCCATATACACCGTACAGCAACCATCTGCCAGACAGAAATAACACTATAGTCTATGATAGAATTGCTCACATGTGTCCTGACTTGTTACAAGTAGGGGTCTAAACCCTAAACCCTAAACCATCCGACTATGGAAGTCTGGCGGATCCCCAAAAGACACGAGGTCATAAACAAAAAAAACCGCAGGGTCTTTCAAGGCCAGGGTTTGGTGATTGCCGGGCTTCGGGTTAAGAATTGGGGATCGGGGTTAAGGGTTTAGGGTTTAGGGTTTAGGGTTTAGGGTTTAGGGTTTAGGGTAGCTGTTCGAGACTAGGGTTGACCTCACATGCACCCCACTTGACAAGTACATAGACAGATAGCATTTTTCAGGTTTTGGGCCATGATTTTACATACGTTTCGGGGGGGGGGGGGAACGGCAGGGTTTGACTAGTTCGCTGAGCTACGCTCGGAGGCTATATGCAGAACTCCACGCCCCCACATTCTAGTCGTTAGTAAGCCTGAAACCCTAGCCAAACTCTAAACTCTTAAACCTACAACCCGACATTGACACCCTAAACTAAAACCCAACCAGTATAGCTCCTCAACATATGCAGGCGCAGACGACGCACCCGCACTCCGGCCAATGCTGCTGGGCACGAGCCTGAGCAGTGTTTCGGCCTTCGCATAGTCACAGCAGTTGTATATTAGCTTCAATCATTATAGTAGGTTTCTCAGGTATGTTCTATTGTAGTGTTTGTGGTAAGGACCCCCGGGGAATAGCAATTATTCGGGCTTCTGTTTCTATTCCAAAGAGTCTGAACTTGCAAAAGTTATCCTCACAAGCCATACTATAGCAGTAAGCTGGAAAACATGGACAACCCTACTTTGCACCAACTCTTTTAACCTACATTAATCTTCGAACAGGGCGAGTTAGGGTCTTTGGGGTTTCCGGGACCAGGTAGAGCACAATGACGAAGCAGAATTTGTGGTCCAAGCAATAATGTAAATCCAGGTCTTGCTGAAAGGGCGTTGACGTTAGAGTGGATGCGTGACATTCATGTTAACATGATCCTCGAGAAAACGTGCCTTGACACATATTTACACTGACTCCATACTCTCTGTCCATCTCTTTGCATAGATGCTTGCATTTTAGTCCTTGTTTATGCGTGTATTTATTTCTTCATGTATTCATATTTTTAGATTATTCACTTTCGGTTGGTTGTTTTGAATGTATGCTGCATGGCTGTATGTTTATGCATAATGTCGTAAACATATATTCATGCATGCATGGAAGTATGTATGTATGCATGTATGTATGTACGCAACTAGTTATGTAGTTATGTATGTATGCATGTATATGTACACATGTATGTATGTGTATGCGTGCATTTGGGTGAGTGAGCATATGTGTATAGGTACACAAATATATATATATATATATATACAGATATACGTACACACACACACACATACAGATTTACTGACTGATTGCGTGACATATTACATGTTTCCAATCTACAGCCGAAAGCTTACACGGCATAGGTACTACAAAGAGAGACTCGGAGCAGTCTGCATTCCGGGCCTTTTGCCTAAACCCTAAACCCTAGCCGCAATTCCTAAACCCTAAACCGTGGGCCAAAAGGTGGTGAGGATCACAAAGATCTGCAGAACGGCCTCTACATTCCCGGTCCGGCCGAGGACAGCGAGGACTCAAGGCAAATCTGGGGACTCATTTGGGCTTAGGGGTGCTTAGAAAAATATTTCACCTTTTGGTTCCTATAATCCTTAAGTAACAGCCAACATCATGACTTGTGCTGGGGGTATAAGTTCAGTACAGTGGGAGGTGCAAATGTCGTGGCCTGAGGGTTTAGGCTCTGGGGCCAGACCCTAAAGGCCCTTCAAGGCTTGTATTTTGTGGGGGTGTTGATAGGTCTAGACTGTAAGTTTAAAGTTTAGGATTGAAGCTACGAATGGCCAGATCCCTCTCAACGTTTGGGCTTTCATGCCTCCTTCTTACACAGTCTCAGTTGCTGTCATTATTGTTGCTGTTATTCTTAGTCTGTGTGTACTAGTCTGCACTATTGTTCTATGTTGTCATGATTCGTAACGTTGTTATTGCCAGTATCGAGACTCATCAGGTTATTGCTACGGTCATTACACATGTTACTTTGTCATAGTTGGGTAACATTTTACATTTTTATGGGTACTTGAACCCAATAAGGAATAGAAATGTACATTTTTAATCCCCTCCCAACAAAGAATTAGGTTACTGTGGTGCCACTGACAGGGATATGCTCCCTCCGGCACCGGCGGAGACGCAGGGGACGCGCCGGCCACAGAAAGCCTTTCATGCTGCAGGTTCGCAGAGAGCCCAATATCCCTTAATTAAGGAATATAGCTTAAATCATAATATCAACCCCCTTATGGTTTAAGGTATATTCCTTAATTAAGGGGTATTGGGCTCTCTGGGTTTTGGGTGCAGGAGGACTTGCAGCAGAAAGCCTTAGGGTAGGCTCATGCTTCGAACACCTCCAGTGCTTGCGCGCTAGCCATGAAGCTGGAATCGAATATCTGTCTATACTTCACACCGTCCACCGCTGCGGCTGAGCAGAAGAAGTGATGCATGCTAGATAGTGAGTTTTTTGAAACTATGCAGGATATAGGGCTTCTGTAAAATTATGTGAGTGGGTATTGGATGGTATTAAAGTCTGAAATATTTAAAAGCATTTTGATGTCAAACAAAAAACTACATATTATGGAGCCGGTGGGAAGTAAAATCCTCGAATCTTGGTACATGAACAAGCCGAGCTGTTCGCTTGAAAGTAACCTTCTGCTTGGGACATGTCCGAGGCATACACCGACAGGCACCATTACTTCTAAGAACAACCCAATCCCTAAACCCTAATCCCTGAACCCTAAGCCCTAACTTCTAAACTCCAAAGCCTAAACTCGATTTAACACCTAAACCGAAACCCTAAACCCGGAGCCCCAAACCAAAACCCGACCCCAAGGCGCCGCCCCACCGTCACCCAGCCCTTCTTCCCGCCGCCCTCGCCGGCGCGGCGGCCGCAACCGCTGGGCGGCCACAAGGCACAGGCCCTGCGTAATAAGCGCGCCCGCACCTTGTACAATATGGGGGCCTTCATAGTTACCTAGGGGGTTCCTTACTATGATCATAGTTTAATGGCCCCAAAACCCTGTTCTAATTATCAAGGCCCCTATAGTAGGCTCAGGCCTTTGCAGAAGCCTCACCAGATCTACCATATGTAACTCTTTCACAGCCCTCATAGGCCCTTCAGCACAAAGACCCTACTTCACATAGAAGTTACGGAAGGTATAGAAGCACAACACAAGAAACGCTCATAACCCCTAAGACCCTTGGGTGCTGCACTCTGCACGCCCACGTCTCCTTCAAAAGACTGAGCAACCCTCATCATACAGCCCTATACATTATCTTACAGTCCCGCGGCCATAAATTACTAAACCCTAAATCCTACGCCTAAACATAAACCGAAAACCCTCCTCAAGTAAATGTCATCGAGCTGCCTTGCACAACCCGTTTGAATCCTTCAGTGCCCCCTCCGAATCATCATAGGTCTTTGTCGAAACATTACCGAACCTGAACCGTTGCACACTCGGTAGACCCTTGTGCTCCTGTACCCCTCGCTCGACGTAGAGCCCCCCCAACTGCCCTCCCCCACTGTAAAGGACTACAAGGACTCTATTAAAGTGCCCTGGGGGGGACCTGGTAAACCACACATCCTTCCACAGCCCGAAGCCCTAAATTCCAACCCTAAACCCTATGTAAACACACTAGCAGCCCGCAATCCTTACACATCTACCGTTCAGGCGCAAGCTCCAGCGACTCGGGCTGTAGAGATCGAACGGCAGACATCCTCGGACGAGGACCGGCTTCGTCAGGGGGTCTTAATGGTTTAGGGGTTGAGGGTTGAGGGTTTGGGACAGTTTTGCTGTAAGGGTGTTATAAGGGGTTTATAGGTTTTCACCAGGGTCTTCATGTGTTTAAAGATGTAATTAGTTGCCAGGTTTTTCGCGTTTTTTTGGCAGGTTTGGACGGTTTTTTCTGTTGATGTTGGATTCTAGCCTTTGCGGAGGGATCTGTGGCTTCAGGGAAGTCGGGCTGTGGGTTTATGTTGGGCACTGCCCCCATCATGGTATTATTAAGGGCCGTACATATCTATATTAGGAATATTGTTCAACTGTTTCTGAGTGGCGCCGCTAGTATCCAAGGTTTGTGTGTTGTTAGCAATCCACGCAGGGTTTGCGATTCTAGACTTCTGGTTTGCTTTCAGGGTTTCACGGGTTGAGTTGCTTCGGGAGTGTATGAATCTAAGGATGTCGGGTTTCAACAAAATGGGCTTAAGCCCGCGGAGCTTGGGGCTGTTTATGTTTTAGCATTCAAATTAGATGCATTAGGTCTTGAGGGTTTCGGAGACGGGAGATTAAAAGTCTGGTTGAGCCCAAAGCCTTATCGTTATCAAAATTCAACGGGAAACCTGTCAACACAACGCTTGAGCCCGATGTCAAACCCGAAACCCTCAGCCCTAAACCCTGAAGCCCTTAACCCTAAAACCCTCAACCCTAAAACCCTAAAGCCCAAAACAAGGAGCTCAGCTTCATCGATCCGGCGTTGCATTCTCACAGAGCGCAGGAGGCAAGGCCACCCTTTCCCATGCAACCAGCGTCTATATTGGGGTATTTCGGGTTCTGGTTTAGGGTAACAGAGTTTAGGGTTTAGGATTAAGGGTTTAGGTTGTCTGCGTTTGCAACTCCACCCCCCAAAACCCTAAAAAGCTCTCCACCCTAAACTCCGGAGTTTGAGCCCTACGATTCGAGGCTTGATTAGCTACTAGGTGCACGTTTCAGATCCTGCTTTCTATTCAGGCTTTCTCGTGCCTGCCTGGACTTTAAAACAGCAGGTTGCAAAACGCCAAAGCTGAACCTCCCGAAACCCTACCCTAAACCCTATACCCTAAACCCCTAAACCCTATACCCTAAACCCTAAACCCCTTGTGTGCCAATGCCTGAACCCGAAGCCTGAAACGTAAACACCCCTCAGGCTTGGGATTTCGCGCTGAATGGCGAGCACGGCAGCCCAAATCACAACCCATGAACTACCCATTCCCCACAGCTACCCGGAATCATAGCTCACATACCAGCTAGCCAGAAACCCTACCACCTAAACCTTTAACTATGCGTTCGAGTCCGTTTCAGCCTACATTCTGTGTCCTAGTATCGGGGACCTGGAAGCTGCTTGTCGTTTGCGGCGCGGTACCTATATCCTGTGACAGGATAGCGGTCTTCGAGCTTGAAGAAACTGCTCTGACAGTAGAACCTGCTGAAGGAAGGAAAGGATCCGGTCTCGTGCACGCCCTTGCAGCCCCTACAACCCAGAACGCTGGGCATTCGTCGTCTCTACGACTCTACAAAATTTGTAATCGTTTCCAACGTGGGACCTTTGCACCTCAGCATACGGTGGCTCCATTTCGCCTTGTAACACCAAAGCCAAGTGGTTCGACGCACTTAGTATGCCGTGGCTTCTTTAGAGTGGCCGCTGAGCTGTGAGGAGACACGGGCTCTCTCGTGACAGGCTTCATGAAGGAACATTAAGCCAACAATAGCAAGAACTTGAGATGGTGAGTTCAGAAAAGCGAACAAATTCAATGTAGAAGCCCGGTGAATGCCAGGATCGAATAAAATAATCTAGAATGTAGAAGCCTAACTGCATAATTACCTATATCATCCTTTTGGGTTCCTTATTATAGTATTAAGGAGACCGAAACCCTATTCCCATTATTGAGGCCCCTACATTACCCATAATGCAGAAATCCCCAAATCGGTTATAGCAGGGAAGCCCTGAGGATTACTATACGGGCTTGAATAGTTGCCAACACTGCATTGGGTTCCATGTATTTATAATACTATGGACCCCAAAACCCTATTCTAATGATTCAGGCTCCTATATTAATATTGGACAATGCTCTACCGGAATTCGCAGGAGCCACAAACCGCCCGACTTAGAGTTTGGCGTAGAGGTTTGAGGGGTTCAGGGGTTTGGGGGTTTAGGGTTTAGGGGTTTAGGGGTTACGGGTTTCGGGTTTCGGGGTTTAGGGGTTAGGGGCTTGGGGTTTCCTAGTCCCCCTTTTGCACCCCTATAGATGCATTGTGAAACCTTTCAAGGAACCGTTGCATGCACCCTATCTTAATGAACCTTGTTCGGGTTATAAAGGTTCCTGACTGATTTCCTTCTTGTGTTTTATAGGATCCTTACGGGGGGGTGGTTCAAGGGGGGAGGGTACAAGGAATCCTTAGAGGAACCTTAGGGAGTACTAGGGAGAGTTAGGGATCACTAGGCTGTATACCCCCCTTGGAGCCCCCTCCCTTAAGGATACTATAATGTGTTGGCAGGCTGCGTTGAAGCCACGGCATTCGAAGGCTCAGGCTAGGATATGCAAGTCCAGGGGGGTTTGAGATTTCGGTTTTCGGGCCTTAGGGCTGAGGGTGAAGGGGTAACGGTTTAGGGTTTAGATTAAAAGCATTCGGTTTTCACCATACTAGGGAATGATGGATTTTGTGTGGCTTGACAGAGGACTGTCGGAAGATAAAGCAGTTTAGGGTCCAGGAGTCGTAGTTCCTCGTTTCCGAGTTTGTCGCCCGCGCAGGTAGGTCCTTCTTTCCCTCACTGAGATAGGCTGCAGCTCCTTTATCCGGTCACCTCAGACCCGTATTCGTAGATCTTTTGCATCGTCCCCTTCGGCACGTAGCTGTAGCTTCTTTATTTGGTTGTCTGGCTGTCTTATTGGGGACCGTAACCTTTAACCATGAAATACCGGGGTTGAAGATTCGAGGTACTGGGGTTTAGGGTTTTTATCCCGATATCAGAGATATGTACAAGTTCATATGAGCGCACAAACTAGTTAAGAAGCAAGTACATGTAAACATACATAACTTGATAGTCTCTCTCTCTCTATATATATACACACACATCAACGTGTTCTATTGCAAATGGGGGCCTTTGCATTAGCTTCGCTCGGCCACTTGGAAGCAGGGGTAGCAGGAGGGGCAGGTTCGTCAGTGTTTGGCTTTCCTTTATCTTCGAGAACCTTAGCCTTCCAGAACGTCAGGGGATTCACTCTAACCGGTTTAGGGTTTAGGGTTTAGGGTTTAGGGTTTAGGGTCTAACTTGTCATAATAAGGGAACCATATTATTTACTATAGACTTCTTATAGGTCCCTATTGTGACAACTTAAACTAAGTTCCTTAACAAGAACCCAGACTTTTCTGCAGGGCCTAAGTTTGGGAATCTAAAGGCTAGAGTGCAGATGTTGTAGGCACCTTGTTTTTTTGCTTTCCTCTGAAAGACCTTGGGGTGTCGTGTTCCGATTCCGGGTTGCATGAGCTGGACTCTACAGCTCGAGTTTATTCCGCATTCGGAGACTTCTGCTGCTGCAGGGACTGACATAAACCCCTAAACCTCCAAATCCGTAGCCCTAAACCCCAAATACTTCCAAATCCTAAAGCCTAAATACCTCCAAATCCTTAACCCTAAACCCTAGATACCTCCAAATCCCTAACCCTAAGACTTAGAACCTGCACCCTGCATCCGAAAATCACCTTCTCGTCATAAGATTCCTCTATGAGGTTTTCAGGCTTAGGATACTTACGGTATTTTAGCTTCATAGGCACTTCCCATGGCTGCAGCCGTAAGAACCTCGGGCCTCACCGGGCAAAGTTCCCCCGTGAGCTTCAAGTGGAACCTAAACCCTACACACCCAGCCCTGAACCATGACCCAGGTGTTTTTGCAGTTGGGCCCCGATTGCAAGCTTGTAAGACCCCGAACATAGTCCCCACGAAACCCAAAGTCCGCAACAGTCCTATCGCCAACAATCATAGCCCTAAAACCTCTCTTGAGCATGCCTCAACAGGTTTGTGAAACCCTATAGCCCCTTTTCTATGAAAGCCTTTTCCCCGCCTTTGAAGAGCCAAAGCCCCAACTTCCGGGCGATGCCGATACCAACTTCCAACCTGCCTGACCTCCTTGGGCTTCAACAAGACGTCGCGCTGCTGCGCGATGAGCTGCGGCAGGACTAGGTTTTTAGTCTGTTGTTTCTTTGGTTTGTGGTGTGTTTAGGGGTTTAGGTTTAGGGTTTAGGGGTCTTGTCAAGTGTTATGGGGTAGCCCCAAAACCAAAACTGGGACGCCCAGTAGTACCCTTATTCCCTTTTTGCAGTCCTAGGTTCTTTACACTATAGAGTTACCCAATACAAAAAAAAGGAGCCCTTTTTATTCCTAGGTTACTGGGCATGCTAGTGAGCCCTTCAACCTTGAGCCGCCAGAGAGTCCCCCGACCCTCAACCCCCAAACCCCAAATGGGAGTTTCCGAAAATTAGGGGTACCTTATTTTGGGGGTCCTTATAATAAGGAGCATATTATTTCGGGTACTATGTTAGGGTTCCCTATTCTCGGAAACTCCCAAATCCCTAATCCATAAACACCAGTCCCGGAAACCTAGTAGACTTTCCGTCAAAGCTTACGGCAGGGGAGGAGGCCTTTGAAGGAATAACATCAGGAATCGTTATTGCAGAGGTTCATGTAGGGTTTAGGGTTTAGGTAGGAGCCCTTGCAAAAAAGTGCAGGAGGTCGAGGAACTCACCGGGCAGCTGCGGGCGCTGGAAGCCCGCGTCGTGGAAGTCGCACGGAGAGGCGGCACCGGGAAGGCGCGCGCGCACAGAAAGAACTGATGCTTATATATGTGTGTGTATACACAAATAAACAAAGACATCTCTCTCGGTATACATATATATATATATATTTACACACGTAGAGATAGAAACATATGATCACAAACACTAGTGCTGTTCTTGGCACAGGCGTTGTCACGAGGTCCCGTGAAGGAGTCATAGGGCCATCCAGAGCAGCTTGAGATGAAATTTCCGTGTGCTGCAAAGAGCACAACCAGGAGCCCAAATAACCTACCTTGTTAGCGTCCCCTATTATGATTTCTTGATATAAGTCCTTAAAAAGGGAGGTTACTTGGGGTTAAGGTAAGTCTAGGTTTTCTTGAGCTGAGGGGCTCGGTGGTTTAGGGATTACCGGGTTTCGAAACTCCGAACACGGCCCTGAAGCTCAAGTCTCACAGTTTCAAGCCCTGAATCCCGAAACCGCGCATGATCCCTAAATCTGCCATTGTGGCTGCAGGTTCATGTTCGGCGTAGATTAGGGCAGAACAAAGTTGCGTGAATAGCCGAAATCCCGCTGGCCACGGGCTCGCCCTGGTGGTAGGCGGGCAGCTGGAAGGAAGACCCGACAGCCACAGCCACCGCTGAGGATGCGGCATGCAGCAGCGGTGCAGCAACAGCCAAGACGGTGAGATTCTAAACCCACTCTGAACCTTAAACCTTAACCCCCGAATCAAAATCCCGAATCCCGATCCTCAATCCCCTTTAAACACTAAACCCTGTTTCCAGAACCGCTGATGAGCCCCGGTTCCTACCCTGATTCCACACCCCAAACCCTCAAACCCTAACTCCTAAACCCTAAACTCCTAAACCCTAAACCCTAACCCCTAAACCCTAAACCCTAACCCCTAACCCCTAAACCCTAAACTCCTGAACCCGAACCATCCCTGACCCCTAAACCCTATAGGTTCTTGAGTACCCTTTTGCCCCTTTAATTCTAGGGACCTTAGGGTTTAGGGTTTAGGGTTTAGGGTTAAACCGAGCAAGTAGGAACAAGGTTACCCTTGTTGTAAAGGGTCTGCTCAGAAAACCGGGACCTTCTTACTTGGAGGATCCTGGGACGTAGTTGCTAGGGTGATTATTAAGGTAGCCATACTTATATGTACTTATAACCCCAATGAATAAAGGTACTTATCACCGTATTTACTAAGTCCCAAGATCCCATTATAGAACCCCTATAGATCCCTTTAAGGGACCCCATTATAGAACCCTATGGGTACCCTCATTGAAAGGAACCCTAAACCTCACTTACTAAGTCCCATGATCCTCCAAGTAACCCTGAATCCAAAGTTTAGAAGCCTGCTATAGACCCCTTTCAGGAACCCTATTATGGACCCTTTAGTACCCTTATTGAAAGGAACCCTAAACCATCCTCCAAGTAACCCTAAATCCAAAGTATAGAAGCCTGCTATAGACCCCTTCGAGGAACCTTCTTATAGAACCCTATAGCACCCTTATTGAAACGAATCCTAAACCTTACTTTACTAAGTCCCATGATCCTCCAAGTAATCCGAAATCCATAATATAGAAGCCTGCTATAGATCCCTTTAGAGGGACCATTCCGCAAAATAGAACCCCTATAGATCCCTTTAAGGAACCCTATTACAGAACCCTGAAAGGAACCCTAAACCCTTTAAACCCTAGTTGCTATAGTAGAAGCCAGAAAGTTGGAACATCATTAACCTCATGCCCTTCAGGTAAGGTATAAGGGATCCTAGCACTAGTCCTCCTAAAGCCATGTTCCAACTTTCTGGTGTCCACAGTCCCTAAACCCCTAAACCCTAAACCCCTAAACCCTAAACCCCTAAACCCTAAACCCTAAACCCTAAACCCCTAAACCCTAAACTCTGAACCCCTTAACCCCTTAAGTCCCATGGTAGGGTTTGGGGACTGAGGGGCTTTGGATGTCGGGGTTGGAGCCTCAGTGGGCTCAGGGTTCCCATTTTGGGCCTAGGGGCTGAGGGGTTTAGGGAGTTAGGGTTTAGGGATTTAGGGTTGTAGGGTTTAGGGCTTTGGGATTTGGGGTTTAGGGGTTTAGGGTTACAGGGTTTAGGGTTTAGGGTGCAGGGTTGAGTAGTATTTTATCGTATGGTAAGCCAAGCCTTAGGGATGTAGAGGGTCGGGGTTTCCAGGTCTTTGGAGGATTTGCTTTAAGGCACAGGGTGCTGAGCTGAAGCCAGCGAGAAGTGTAGGGGCCTGAGACTTAGCTTGTTGGAATAGGGGTAGTGAATGGTAGCATAATGTTTTCTAAATTTTGAAGGTGGCGTCGATTTAAGCAATGGCCAGCCTGCTTTCGTAGCTCAACCATCGCCCAGGCAGCATGGCCGTGATGACGGTTGTCAAGGATGAGGAGGAGGAAGAAGAAGAAGAAGCCGGCCAAGTCGGTGAGGTCCTGTGCATCCAGCTTTGGGGCGAGTTTTTTGTTTTAAAGGGTTAGGTGTTCTGGGTTACGGGTTTGTTTAGGATACAAGTTTCGGGTTCGGACATTGAGGGTTCCTGGAATTGATCTCGCAGAAATAGGTGGCACCCGCACAGCTTCTTGCGCAGATTTCTTCCGAAACTTTGCAGTGCCGGGACTTCTCACAACGAGGCGTCCTTTGTCGGGATCCTTGATCACCGAGAACCCTAAGGCTCCATGTGCCCTTACAGTATATACTTAGGCCTTAAAGTACCTATATAGGGACCTCTTTCAAGCTTTATCT